CTCCTGGGAGATGTGGACAAACCCTCTTTAAATGGAAAATGAGGCAAACACCTGTAGGAGACTGTTGTCACCAGGCACAAATGATGGAGCACATCATTTCTGAGTGTTCCCTTTGTTCTTTCACCAGGGGCCTGAAGGACATTCACCAGCTCACTGCTGCAGCAAGATCCCTACTATCAAATCTAGATATAAATTTGTAATTGTTATTACCTCCCCAAGCCATATGAAAGAAGAAGTCTTCACCTTCAGAGTCCTCCATGGGCTTGGCACAAGTTACCCAGGGGACCATCACAACCCGCATGGTCGTGACCTCCCGTGAGAGCCAGGTTCCTGCGGTATTATGGGACTGTCAACCTCAAGAACAATGCTTGTGCACGCAGGAGACCAAACTTTCTTGGCTACTGCCCATAACTTACTCCTGGAAGAGGTCAGGATACACAACGTCAGAGCAAAATGCAAAACTGTGACCCAGCCCTTCTGCCATAGCCACCCTGGCCCTCTCACAAGAAGCGAGTCACTGCTGACTGAAGGAAAGAGAACACTATCTGAAGTGCATGTACAAACATATACATAAGTGATGTATCTAAGACCCTAGATCGAGGCAGACAGAACAGCAGCACAGCATGTGTGAAGGTATATGGCAGGTATGCTCTAACGTACCAACAGGAAGTTAATAATGGACAACAGCAGATGCAGTGGTGGGCTAGCATTTTCTGTAATCTTAGTGTCATGATTCAGCATTGCTTACTGAGGTCAATAACAGAAGAGAATTAATACCAAGTTTGTGTAGGACTGCGCAGGATACCAAGTGTGTAATGAAAGACAGTTGAGAGATAAATTCACCACTCCTTGGGAAAACAACATTAATCTCTTAAGCACCAAACAAAAGAATCAGAGTCACCTCTGCAGACAGAACTCAAGACAGGTATGACACCAATAAATATGTATGATTTGTTGGGTACAGTCAGAAGAAGTCAGGAGGCATGGATCAGCGTTCACGTTGCACTGCCGGTCAATACCCAGCCCAATCTGGAAAGCTAATAATCCAACCAGCAGACCAAATTCGGTGATGAATCCTGGTCACATGCCACCTGAGGCACGCTGAGTATACACTAAGAAGCAGCAGCACAAGTCGATGCTCTACATGCCCATCAAGGGAGGTAATTTACTCTTCCATACAGACACTATTGCTAAGGCTAAGATTTTCTCACGGATATATTTAGTAAAAGTCAGGGACAAGTCAGAGGCAATAAACAAAAATTCATGGAAGTCCGTACCTGTCCCTGACTTTTACTAAAAATATCCCTGACAAAATGGGAAGGGAGGAGTGTCCAGCACCCACAGCAGCTGGGGCTCCAGGGTCCCCCCCCCCCACTGCACAGCAGCTGGGAGCTCCGGGGGACCCCTACCCCACATAGCAGCTGGCAGCTCCAGGGCCCCCTGCTGCCTGGGTGCTGCCCTGGGGCTGACACGGAAAATGTCACAGAGGTCTCTGGAAGTGACAGATTCCATGACATAATTGTAGCCTTAACTATTGCTACTAGACATAGTTTTCTAAAGTTACTTGTTGTAGAGAAGTGTGAAGAGTGATTGTTTTCCCCCTTTGAAAAGTTGCATGTGGACAATAGAGGTCAAATTTGACCACTTCCTTACATCCCATTTTCACTATTTCCCTGTGAATTATATTGTATAAGTGGACGCACTTAAGTACAACCCTCCACAGCAGATAAAACCAGCACCAAAGACAAGATGTACTGGTATGTTACCCACTGTTACCCAGTACTTAAAAGTACAGCTGGAAAGTAGTCCAGCTTTTGCAGAACCACTTTTCACTCTGTGTGCCCAACTGCCTACTCACAAAATGGCAGAGGAGTTTTAGGAAAAACTGAGGTTTGCCCAGGGAGACTCTAATCATATTTAACATCACATTTATTTGGAATGCTAAACCCCATCCCCTTGATTATTATACTGTGCGGTCCACTACACTGACATAACACCACTGAGATCACCTATTTTGGTTGCACCTTAGAGAAAGCCACCTCCTGCACTAATAGAAAATTAAATCCTAGTGCTAACCCCTATTTCCCATATGCCCTCTTCTCCCACTTACTTATTCTGATGTGGCAACACACCTACCTACATACATTCTCCGCCCTGCTTCCCCCTATCCCCCCTGGATGTGCAGAATCAGTAAAAAGGCAGTGAATCTAGTGAGAATGGAAGTCAAAGATCTTGAATTCTTATCCCAGCTTTGCCACTGACTTGCTGCATGGTCATCAGACAAGAGAGCCTCTCTGTGCTTGTTTCCTTATCTGTACTACTCTTCTACCTATTTCACAGGAATTCTGAGAGGCTTAATTCCTTAGCGTATGTAAAGCACTTGAAATTCCTAGAAGAAAGACGCTATAGATAAGCAGAGTGTTATTAATCTGCACAGGTCTCATGATGAGGAAGGGAAAGCAACACCAAGATCTCAAAGTTGCATGAACGGAAGTAAATCGCACTTTGTTGCACTAGACTCGGCAAATATAATGCAAGCCACAGGAAAACAACATGCATGCTGGGGAAGTGGTCAGATACTGTAGTGATGGTGGCTATGTTCATCACCATCTAACACTGTATGTGCAGCAAGTGACTGTTTGTAGCCAATGTTTGGTGGGTGAGGCTTCCATGGCTTGCCTCAACTCACTACCAATAAACAGCTATAGGGGAAAACAGGGACACAGTATATTTTCCTGTGAGAGAAAGCTGCAGAAACCTGCCTCCACTCATCACCAGAATAGAGGGTGCTGAAGTGGGGAGAGATTCCCAGGGCTTTTCCATCACCCCATGAAAATCAGTGGGTGATGGGGAGGATTTAAAGAGGAGGCATGTAGCAGTGTTTTCTGGGAACCTGCTTACCTCCACCCCCCAACTCATCACAGTGATGATCACGCTGCTGAGCCAGGGAGTAGGGGAGGGAGAGAGTAGGAGAGAAAGAGATTCCCACATGGTTTCTCTCTCATCCCCTTGTGGGCATGAGCACTAGATGTGTGAGGTGTGCAATATTTCCCTTGAGAAAGGACCTTGAGAAATTTCCCTGAGGCCCCCCCTCCAACTCATCACAGCGATGACCAGGCTGCTCAGCCCGAGGGGTGGGGGGAAAGGAAGGAAGAGGAGCAGGATTCCCAAGGTGTCTTTTACCCCGTGGACGAGAGGGGAGGCAGCGTTTTCCTGGGACCCTGCCGAGGCCTCCCCAACTCACGACAGCGATGACCTGGGAGCTCAGCCTGGGAGCGCTGGGTGGGGGGGGGGAAGAGACGGGAGATTCCCAGTCTCCCCCAACCCCAGCAGACATATCGCGGGGGTGGGGGTCAGGGAGAAGGCGACAGGGGGCAGCAGCGTTTCCCATCACTGCTGAGCCCGCGGTTATGGATGCGGGAGGGGCTCCCGCGGCTCCCCCCCGGCAGCGCATGGAGGAGGCGCAGCATCCCCGCGGGCCGGGCCGCCCTTACCCGAGCGGGGATCGAAGGTGACCACGAACACCGCCACGATCTGGTCCGCCTCCGCCTCCGGCCCCCGCGGCAGCTCCCCGGGGCCGCCCCACGCCGCGCCACCCCCCGGGGCCAGGCTCCAGCCGCCCCGCTCCGGCTCGGGCTGCGGCAGGGAGACCGCGGGGCCCTCGGCCCAGAAGAGCAGCGGCGCCTCGTCTGCCGGCTCCACCATGGCCTCGGCCCGCCGACTGCACCGCGGAGAGCCTGGCGGGCGGGCAGGGACGGGGGGAAGGGGTGGGCGGCCGCGGAGCAGGGGGCGGGGCTAAACCCGCTTGGGGGCGGGGCTTCCGGGCTGTGAAAACGCTCTATCTCGCAGCCCGCTTGGGTCAACCGGGCAGTCAGATAGGGGCCATTCACATCCAGTCACGTGA